AAACAAGACATTCAATTCAGTGTCCTCTGAAGTTCAAGACTTTTTCTGCCTTTTCTGCAGAAAAGAAGAAAAAAAATCCTTTCTCCTGGTTATTTAGAACTTTCCCTATGTTTAAGTACATATAAAAGGTAGCAGTGAGAGCAGAAGATTGCCTTGATCAATTGTCCTGTTACTTTCTGAAATGCCATTAATTTTTAGTGGAAAAATGGCAGCGCAGTGGATGTGTTGTGCACTGCACCTTTGTTGTCTGTTGCTAGAAGAATTGATTTATTCTCAAACAGAAGAGTAATTAAATGGAACAGTAAGGTCAGAAGAGTTGAGGAAAGCAGTTCAGCTGTCCCACCTCGTTCACTCTTTGCTTGTGACAAAATAACAAACTTCTGCTGGTTCCTTGACCACAGATGTATAATCTATCTTACAATAGACATTTCTCTTTACAAACGGTCCTTTTCAACCCTCTGCCTTAAATGTTTCAGTGCCATTGTTTCTCTATATTGACAACTTAATGTTTTAGAAAGTAAACTTAAAGTTTTTTTAAAGGAAACCGTTTTTAATGTTCTTTTAAAAACTCTTTCAGATTATACAGACTTGGCTATGAGCACTGTAACACAGACACTGGCTATTCCCTATACTGGACCTTTCAATCTGCTCTTTTACCAGCTGCAGAAGCTTACTGGTGGGTATTCAGAAAGAAACGTTTGTGATTTGTTTTTAAAACAACTTCCAGTCTTCTGGGGAGTTGAGTGGAAATTTCTTTGCTCTGAAATGCCACAATTTGTTTTGTGTTTCATGGCTTTCGTTAGGTAATGCAGCTCCTGCCAAGTCCAGGTCGTGAATGTGACTGACCCTCTGTGGGCATCCTAATGTAACTGTAATACAAATCCATCAGCATGCAGCAGTGTAGAACCTCAGTTGATTTTTGTCTCCTGTCAGCCCCCAAAGTGAGCAGCTCAGCCACCCTGATGAAAAATTTAGCAAATGATAATCTTTTATTTCCAGCCCCAAAGTAGAATGGTTAATGACATCTATTTAATAAAAGATGCAAAAAATTGTCTTTCTTTGTGTCAGACAACATATTCTGTTCCTCCCCATGAGGGACTGATCCATCCTTCTTGGCCTTTTCCATGCCAGAAGCCATTTAAATCTGCTGCTAGAGTGATTTCCTGTGCCTCTGTCTGGTTTTCTTAAGGATAGAGGCAACTCCCATCCTGGTTCCTGAAAGGCACAGCATGTACCAGGATCCCTTCCCAGATTAAAGCTCAGGAATTTTTTTTTCCCCTCATCTAGTGACAGAGTCAAATGTGTATCACCTGTGAAGAGAAAACCTGCATTCAGTTGGTGTTCAGGTCTCACAGCCTGAGTGCTGCCTCACGCAAGAAAGGCTTTTGTTTTACTTTGTTTTTCTTTTCCATTGGTGTGCTCAGGTCAATGTACTAAGCCAGTCAACCATGAGAATCCAAAGCAAGTAAAATGGCCAGTGCTACACGCTCAAAAAGCCATGCAGATACAGCTAGTCCTGTTCTCAGGCCATTTTATTCTTGCTAACCATTTGTTGCTGCTTCTTAGGTGATGTAGAGGAAATAGAAATTCAACAAAAACCAGCCCTGAAGGTCTTCAAAGGTATTACTGTAATCCAGGAACCAGGCATGGTGGTCCTTGAGGTAGGCACTGGGGGGGAGAAACAACTCTTTTTCATTCTCCAGATCCTGTAGAATAGTGCCATGTAGGTGCTGTGCACAATGAAATGCTTTAAGTGGCTTTCTGTTGGGTGATGAGTGGAATGAAAAGGAGACGCTGCCTTTGGCTGCACTCCTGTGCTCATGCATGTTATTTCACGTAGCCGCTTTCTTCTCGTACTGTGACTCAGTGGTTTAATGGTAGATTCAGTGCCCTTTTTCATTGGGGAATTGGTAATTGGAAATAAGGTTAAATAGTGTTCCCTCCTGCTCTCCCAGCCCATAAATTGTTATGTTAATTAATAACTATTTTGTAAATGTGTCCAGAAATATTCAGCAGCTTTAATTTTTCATGGAAAGTTATTAGAATGCTTCAAGTTACAAATAGTTGAGACTACTAAATGTGTGACAGTCATTTGAAGCTAGAATTTAGAGGGGGAAAAAAAACAAAGCCACGAATGTTGTTTTTATGTTGTGTTATTTATTGAGCCCCAGCAGCAGGCTGAAATGGTGATTTGATTTCTGTTTTTTTGATCTTCCAGTGGGTGGCAAATCCTGCTAATGACATGTATGCAGACACCGTGACCACAGTGATACTGGAAGTTCAGTCAAATCCTAAAATACAGAAAGGTAATCAGTCCCACTGTGTGCTGCTTCAACTGAGGTTCTCTTCTGAATTTTCGATATCAGGCTTCAAGAGCTTTAGAACACCTTAAAATAGGTTTCCTGCTACTGTGCTTCACATCGTGAAACTTCTTAAGTGTTTCATGTTCCTCAAATGCAGAATTACATTTACAACTTCATTTTCATTGTTTGTAGCACATCCTCGTGTTGAAGCTTTCTCTTACTCATCGGTTTCTAGCTGTCTGTGGAAAATGCAGCCCTATTTTAAAAGAAGTTAAATATTAGTCCCTTTTAGTTTTATCATGTAATAGATGGGACCCACTGAAATGTTTCAGCTTCTCATGAGAAAGTCATGGTTACCATTCACAAGCAGTATTCCTGTGACTGCACAACAGAAGGAGTTAGGTAGGGGATGCTGAAAAGAAGTCTAATTTCACAACTGCACTAAAGCACCAAGTGATATTACTGGGCAGTGAAAGTGTCATCAGATAACAGGCTTGGCATTGCTTCTCAAGAATCAGAACCATTTTGTTGAGGTTGCCAGTGCTGATAGTTCTTTGTTCTGCTGTTTTGGTTTCAAACACCAATGTCACTATGCTAAAAATCTGGAGCGGACATTGAATATTATGTTGGCATCTCTTTGTGGCACTGAGGATAAATGTTGGCAGCTTGTTAACACTGTAAGGCAGATAATTCAATGATAACCCATTTATCATTCTATATCAGGTCCTTTCGTGAAGACTAAGGATCTAGGTCTGCAGTGTATCCTTAAACTAGCCCACAGTTTTAAATTACTAACAATGGGTAGTGAGGGATCTGATTTGATGTCTGTTGTCAACTCACAAAACATTTTATTTACAACACTCCTGGTAGATTTTGCTTTCCAAACCAGTGAGGAGGGCACTGGAGCTATATGAACAAATAGCTGTTTTCTCTGGGTTACTCCTTATGTCTTCTTACTATATATTTTTATCATAGAATCATCATAGAATGGCCTGGGTTGAAAAGGACCACAATGATCATCCAGTTTCAACCTCCTGCTCTGTGCAGGGTCACCAACCAGCAGACCAGGCTGCCCAGAGCCACATCCAGCCTGGCCTTGAATGCCTCCAGGGATGGGGCATCCACAACCTCCTTGGGCAATCTACTCCAGTGCGTCACCACCCTCTGTGTGAAAAACTTCCTCCTAATATCAAACATAAGTCTCCCCTATTTTAGTTTAAAACCATTCCCCAATAATTGCATATAAAACAGCAGTCACTGTTCCCTAGCTGTTTAGTCTCACACCTGACTCAACAATTCTGTTAGAAATTCTTTCTCCCAAGTTTGTAAATTCACACAGCAGTTCTGTTGTTATATTTGGATAAAGGTCATACAGTTCTCTTGCTTGTGATATTTTCAGTATGTATTTTCTTGTCAGCTTCTAGCCGTGTGCTTATGCTCTGATTTGTGAAAACTAACCAAAAGTACAGATGATACAACTGAAATATCTTGTATTCTTCCTTCATTTCCAAAAGGACAGTGTTCATTTTAAGCTACCTAGTGATTTTGAACACGAAGTCTAAAAACAGTATCAGCATTTCCAACCTCCATTTGTTCCAGGAATGTCACTGTTATTATTGCTCACGTTTGGTGTTCAGTTTTACCTTGTGTTTCTGTATGCTCCTACACTCTGTGATGCAGTCCTTTACTACAGCTAAAGAAAATAGAAGGATTATCAACAAGTCATGAGGATTTCTTCCACTTTTAAGTATATGAAAGTAAAATGACTTTTCCTTTTCAGCTGCAGTGCAGAAAGTTTCCACCAAAGTCGACATGGAAGAGTATCGCAAGAGAATGGAAATGATGCTTCAGTAAGTCAGCGTCTATTTTTCTCAATGAAAGCGATCGCCGTTAATCATGTACATAGAGTAATTTTATTACAATACCACTTAAAAGCAGGGTGAATTTAAAATAACCAGTACAGATTAACATTTCTGTGTAGGCCTGGGGTTAAGTAAAGACGGAAGTACCCTGAAAAAGCTCTCAGTATCATTGAGACTACAAATCTGGGGCCCAGTTACTTCATCCATCAATGGAGTTGTACCTTTTCTCCCAAAATTATACTGTGAATTCTTACAGGAAAACATTTTGGATTGTCTCTCTTAAACTTACTCTGGTGTTTGCTCTGTTACTCAAGCAGACCTCTTACCTCTTGGACATTACAGGAATCCATTGCTTTATTTATGAGACTTGTTCTGGTAAAATTCTTACTCTTATGTGACACTGCCTCCCTTAATTTAGATTGTGACCTGTTAGTCACATCTGAATGGGATAAATAATGGCTTCTGAAAGGACACAAAATGCCTTTGGAAGCCTAAGATTAATGGAAAAGAAATGTAAGTTTGCTGTTTGGCAGTTACCTTATGTGAGTCAACCTTTGTTTCAGGGATATGTTTGGAGAAGACTGTGTAAGTTCAAAAGAAGGCTCAATTCTGTGTGTCACAGTAGATGGCAAGACTGCAAACCTTTCACTGGAAACTCGGGTATGGAGAGTGAAGCACTTGTGGTTATTTATCCATGCTGTGTCCAGTAGGATGCAGGAACATCGGTGTGGAGACTTGCTGAGCATCAGTGATGGTATCTCCGTGTGAATCCACTTACAGTGTTAACCTGATGCAGTGCAGGTTACTTCACTCACGAAATTACATCTCTGAGGACTGACATTGTGTGTTTTTATTTGATTTTGAATCAGTTGCAAGCTACGGAACTTAAGACATTTCACATAGCATGAAGCAAAGAACTCATCAAACATGACGTTATTTTTCATCATCTTTGGCAAGGTGTATGCAGCTCTTCACTGTACAATTCCACACAGTGGTGGAACATTTAAGAACAGAAATTGCAGCTGAAAGCTCTTGATAACCATAGCTGTAATTTGTGTGACTGCTCTTTCTTTTCCCCTTATGCACGAACATTGCTGGTATTCTGAAAAACAATCTGATGTGCTGGTTGTTCTCATATACTTCTTTTTTTGTTCTCAGACAGCTGACTGTGAGCCAGGAAGTGAAGACGACGAATCCCTGCGTGAAATGGTGGAACTGGCTGCACAGAGGCTCTACGATGCCCTCAGCCCAGTGTACTGCTGACCTCTGTAGATACCTAGGACACATACAGAAAGCTTTGAACGTTCAAATTTATTTGGACTGGTTTTTTAAAGTAAATAAATTTTTTCATCAGCAAGTCAAATGCATTCTATGAGTGGGAAACCAAGTTCAAATAATGGGTGAGCAGCCTTACCTATGTCATCTGCATTTGTGCGTGTAGATCATAATAAAGTGTGGTCCTCTTGAGTGGAGGTGGATGTCTGGCAGCAAATCGTGCTGAAAGAACATGATTTCTCGGGGATGCATCCTCTGCTTTTTTCCTTTCCCACCTTGTTGCATAGAATCACAGCATGGTTTGGGCTGGAAGGGACCTTTAAGATCATGCAGTTCCAACCCCCTGCTACAGGCAGGCACACCTCCCTCCAGACCAGGGTGCTCACAGCCCCATCCAGCCTGGCCTTGCATGCTTCCAGGACGGAGACATCCACAACCTCACTGACAACCTGTTCCAGTGTCTCGCCACCCTCACAGCAATGAATTTCTCCTAAATCTACACTCCTCCAGTTTAAAGCCGCTCCCCCTCGTTCTGTCGTTACCTGCAGGCCCTGACAGCCGGCACCGTTGAAGGTCTGTGCGTCCACTCTCCCTGCCCGGCATATCCCTGCCTCGCCAAACACGAGCCTTTGCAAGGTGGTAATTTCATCGCACCACAAAAGAACCCCCTCTTTGAAAAAGCGAAATATGGTACCGTTAACTCGTGACGGTGCCGGTGATTGGGTCCGTGTAGAAGGCCGTGTATCGGCCCGTTCCCTCTCGCCGCTCTCCCGCCGCCCAGCACAGCCCGCGGGGCTCCGCCGGAGGCACGGCGCTGCTGCGGGAGCCCTTTAAAGAGCGAAGCCGCACCTCTCGGCCCCGCCCTCCTCCTCCGCCCTCTTCCCGCCGTGGGAGCCGGACGTCCGGCCGTTATGGCGCTGGCGGAGGCGGTGGCGGCTCGGGGGCGGGCGCTGCCGTGGCCGCGCGTGGTGCTCTTCGGGGACTCCATCACCGAGGTAGCGGCTGCGCGGCGCTGCCCTCGGCTCCGGGGTTTGTCGCTCTGTACGGAGAAATGAGCAGCCGGGGGGAGGGGGGAGCCGGCAGAAGCGGCTCGGCCGAAGGGAGGTGGTTGTTCTTACGGGGAGGTTTGTGACTAAGCCCGGCCCTCGCGCAGCTCCGTCGGCTGGCCGAAGGGAGCGGCGGGGCGGTCTGTGTGCCGCGGGATGCGGGCGCTGCTGGGGCGGGGCGGGCTGCGCCGTGCCGGACTGCTAACCGTGTGCCCTGCTTTAGTTCTCCTTCCAGGAGGGCGGCTGGGGAGCGTCCCTCGCTGGCAGACTGGTCAGGTAAGAGCAGAGATCTCACAGGTGTAGGTGGAGAAGCGTGTGGCTTCACTGCGAGGTGACAGCGCTGGGATGGGCGTCCCGCAGGGGTGTCTCGTTCTCTGGGGATGCCCAAACCGGCCCGGACGTGTTCCTGTTGGCCGTCAGGGAGAAATGCTTTGCTCAGAGGGCGGTGAGGCCCTGACACAGCTGCCCGGAGAGTTGTGAGTGCCCCATCCCTGCAGCTGCTCAATGTTGGGTTGGGTGGGCACTGGGCAGCCTGAGCTGGTGGACAGCAGCCAGCCCACGGCAGGGGTTGGGCGGGTGGGCTGTGAGTTCCCTTCCAACCCAACCATCCTGTGATCCTGTGCAATTCTAAAACAAAGTTAGAACTGTGTTAGGAAGTCCTGTGAAGTCTCACTGATTCTAAGAGTGGCAAAGATGCCTGAAGACTCCCTGACAGAACGGGTCAGAACCTCGCAGGTCTTGCTCAGAAGGGTGGAGCAGTTCTGTTACTGTGTGTCTGTTTCAGAAAATGCGATGTAGTGAACCGTGGGTTCTCGGGGTACAACACCCGATGGGCTAAACTCATCCTTCCAAGGCTGATCGGTAGAAGTGCTGCTGCTGAGAGTACTGTTGCCGTCACTATTTTCTTTGGAGCTAATGACAGTGCTTTGAAAGGTACCGTAGCTTCCATTTATTCCTGTGACCTTTTTTCTCTTAAGGCAGTTCTACAGTTAGCAGAAAGGCTGAACGTTACCCAGGCCTTCCCTCCTTTTTGAGACAGTTGCTCTTTCTTACAGTGGGTTGTTTTCAATTATCATATTTGTATTTAAACTACGTGCTGCCTTCTCTTTCTCGCTGACCAAGAGATAAGAGTTCAATAATGACAGTAAACTTCGAGGCAGTCAATAATGAACCATGCATCCAACATGTGGAGTTGGGCACCTGGTGGAATTTTCTGCCTTTGAAGCAGTCTGATGGATCTTTGTTAGCTGAGGGAATGGAGGCAGACAGCCTTTGGATTCTCTTTAAGATAAGCATGGCAACATGCGGGCGAGTCTCATCAGAAGGTGAGATCAGTGTGTGAAGGACTGGCTGGGAAGTCCATGGGTGTTGCCAAATTTTTCTTAGCTTTTGTTTTGGATGAAGTTTGAGGCGATTATGTGGTCGGACACTGAAAGTGAACTGAAAATGAGCCGTGCTCATGGTTGTACAAAGCACTGTAGTCATCGTGTGATACGTCTGTGAGCAGCTCCATCTCACACCAGTGATGTGATTCCTCTGACCCCTTGCAGATGTGAACCCTAGGCAGCACGTTCCTTTGGAGGAATACGCCGCCAACCTGACAAGCATGGTGCACTACCTGAAGTCTGTGGACATCACTGAGGACAGGATTATTTTGATAACGCCGCCCCCTCTTCAGGAATCAGCTTGGGAAAAGGAGTGCCTTGCCAAAGGTAAAGGAGTGCTACATGTGGGCAGAATTTCTGCTTTTCAACCCCAGAGCTTCTGGGGTGCCCTTCTGGGTACGTATTTATAGTGCTTAATTCAGAATCCTGCCAGAAAACATAAAGGCTGTTTCCTGCTGTCAAGAAAGTAGTTTCCAGCTACTTGGATTGAGATGGTTCCCATGTAGTTTGTAACGGGTGATGTCTGCTGATTTCAAAGAGTGAGCTGCATCATTTGTGACTGCTGAATGACCCTGCATGTCTGACAGGTGACAAGCTGAATCGCCGCAATGCCACCACTGGGGAGTATGCACAGGCCTGCGTTCGAGTGGCGAGGGACTGCGGGACCGATGTGCTCGACCTGTGGACATTGATGCAGAAAGATCAGGTATGGTAGCAGAAGGTGGGCTTTGGAACTGTTACAAATAGTGAAATGCTAATTCTACATAGAGGAACCAAGAGCAGTGCTGCATTATCACTGGAACAATAATCTCCAAAAGGAGCAAAATAGTTCAGAGTGCTTTGCACCGGGCCACATGACGTGCTCCTTAACATGAACTGAGCATCACCTGTGGCTAGCAGATATCCCCAGGTGCACTGCAGGTATGTAATGGTGTCCTTGCTTTGACTCGTGGGATAGGTTGGAAGGGGCCTCAGGAAGCAACTGGTCCCACCTGCTGCATGGTGCTGGCTGAGCTCACAGGTGCACAGGCACCTTCCTCATGCTGCTGAGTGAATGCCCAAGCATGTCCAAGAGTCAGCAATGGTAGCTCTGCTCCGTAAGCTGTTCACACTGAACCTTTTCTCTGTCCTGCACTTCTGAGTGCAGAGATGAGCCAATGGTGCAGTACTGCGTGGTGCAGAAAACTGACTCAGCAATTTGCTTGCACCATTCCCTCATCACACGGTCATTTCTGCATGAAAGCAGTGACTTTGGCTGCCAAAGCATTCTCTTAATATTTTAGTACCAAGGGCTGCCCTATCTACCAACAAGTTTTGAGTAACTTACTGAAAAATCACTCATTGCAGCTAGCAGTACAGCAACACTTGGCTTTTGCTTCCCCTGTAGGATTTTTCGCGCTATTTGTCTGACGGGCTTCACCTATCAATGGAAGGGAATAACTTCCTCGTGGGACAACTCTGGTCACACCTGGAAAAAAGACTCTCAGCTCTCCCTTCATTGCTTCCTTACTGGCGGGACGTGGACCCCCAGCACCCTGAGGTGAGCCTGCTGTGAGGTGCCCTGCAGCAGTGAAGCCCAGCCTGTCTGAGGGAGCGAGCGCATGTCCAGCTGCTTTGTACCTCTGCGCCCCTGCTGATGGTGATGAGGACTGAAGTGGACTGTCTGCTCTGTAACCATTTTTTTCAATAAAGATTGGCCAAGGGGTGGAAACGGCACTGGATGGAAGCTGCCGCCTTCCTGCTGCAGCTGCTGACAACAAACAGTGCGTGTGTGTGTTCAGCAGTGTCTGGAACAGGGCTTAGAGCAGAGGACCGGGTTTGGAGGGCAGAGTTCTGCCCCCGGCTGCCCCCCTGCTCACAGGCTTTCAGCTGCAGTTGATGTCTTCTCCAAAAGGACTGCACAGACACAGTTTTTGTTTAATTGATTTGAATATAAAAAGCTTTTACTGTACTGGGAATTAAATTAACTCCTCACACATGTACTCTGCACTGAATCAAAAAAAACAACACAAAGCCAACAAAACAACCAAACCAAAACCAGTATATAAAAGAAGGGCTATCAGATAGAACACCGTAAGGCACACATTCAAGTATCAGTGTAACAAGTATTTGGGTGGGGAAGGCAGAGCGGCACTCACGCTCATCACAGGTTTGCTTCCTTTCCATCACATGTAAGAACACCAAGGCTTGCCCCAGCTCTGCCTCCCTGGTGGCTGAGTGCAGGCCTGTAACAGGTAAAATGCTTCCCGTCCATTCACGCACCCTGTCAGCTTTAACAATGCATTCTTAGGGGAGAAAACAGGCACAATAAGGCGCTCTGCTTCCATGACAGCTGCTCTGTGACTCACCCTGTCAGCCCACCTGAGCTCAGGCTATGGCACTGCTTCTGGCCAACGCATCCCATGTTACAGAGCTCCAACTGAAGGACACCAACAAGTTACCAGCTGTTAACATCACACTGTACTAGCTGTAGGGAAAGTGGAGTTTTACAACATCTCCCTAGCACAGCACAGGCCCTGTAAGTCTAACAAAGCTTGATTTTTCATTGTTCAAATTCACAACTGCTCCCCTGCATGGAGTGCAGGACTCTTGCAGTGATTTTTAAGAGCTTCCCAGGCTCAGCCCTTTGAATAGCTCAACAATAGTGTTACCTTCTCAATAATGAACAGAAAAATCATCAGAGAAACATTTCTGCACTGAAACGTCCATAAGTGGTTCAAACAGTTCTCATCTGCATACGTGATTTCTCCACTTCTTTCCCTTCCCTTCCTTGCCCCCTGCACCCCACTGCAGTGGGAAAACTCTCAGGGGGAACATTTCCCTGCAGTAAAAACACAGGGACAGGGCAGCCTCACAGCTAGAGGGGCATCTCCATACACTGAGCAGGGTTTAACAGCCTCTGCACAACCCTACTATTTATTGAGAAGCTTTCTCACAAACTCCTTGATGCTGATATGCATCTCCACATTATATGCCAAGTATTTTAACTGTTTCCTTCTGTTCTCCAGGTACGTGTAATGCTTATACTTTGGCTTACCTGTACCTCATAGGATCTGATCCACATGGAACACTGTGGAGTATTTGCTTTGCTTTGCTTTGCTGGCAAAGCCCCTTAATTTCATCTGTCAGTGCCACCAGACTGCAAAATACGACATTACAAAAGGCAGATATACACACAGCGTGATATCCTGGAGGATATTCTGTTCTGCACCACAGGTTGAAGGAAATGTTAGAGGTCGAGAAAGTAGAAAAATCCAATGAGCTTCAAAACCAAGACTGTCTCCATTTGGAGTTCCGGTTTTTAAAAGATATAATGCTCTAATAAATGTAATTTAAGGAAGGTCATACACATGACCAGCATCTGCAGTA